CGCGAAACTCGCAAGGAGGAACAGGTTTATCTACATCGAGATACCCTAGCTCTTCTTTGTCCGTCCCTGGTCCATGGTCCTACCGATCTTCCTACATCGAAGAAGACATTCGGTATCCAAGAAACTCGCAGGGATCACGGGATGTCACACATAATGGTGGTGGCATAGCGAACGAATATAATGACGAGGCGATAGAATAGCTGGTCGTCATGCGAAGGCGATGGTCACCCTCCTGGAGGGGAGTCGTGAGCCCGATCGCAAACTCAAGAGGGTCGGCATTGGGAGTCGACAAACAATGATCATAATGTCGTTGAGCAGTCGGTCCTGATGAGGAGATGGCAATAGTGTCCGGTCAGGCCGATATATCCGTGCAACGGCTCTCATCCAACGCATCGCGGGGATGGAACCGGTCTTCAAAAGTTAAGTATGTCATGCCGAGAGGCCGAACATGATGTGATAGTGTCGGCAATGAGGGACCGACCTGAAAGAATCAAGCAACGGCCCTCATCCGCGAGGAGCGGGGATGAGGCCGGTCTTCAAATATGGAAAGCACGCCGAGACGGGAGGCCGGTCGTGATATAATGGTGTCGGCAATGATAGGCCGACCTGAAAGAACCAAGCAGCGGTCCTCGTCCGCGAGGTGTGGGGACGAGGCCGGTCTTCAAAAGATGAACACGCCGAGCCGAGGGGCCGGTCGTGGTATGATAATGTCGGCAATGAGATGCCGATCAAGATATGGTCAAGCAACGGTCCTCGTCCGCGAGGTGGCGGGGACGAGGCCGGTCTTCGAATATGATAATCACGCTGGTCCGAGAGGCCGGTCGTGATATAATGATGTCGGCGATGAGAGGCCAACCTGAAAGAATCCAGCAACAGTCCTCATCCGCGCTGCGCGGGGACGAGGGCGGTCTTCAAGTATAACAATCACGACGTGCCGAAAGGTTGGTCGTGAAATGATGGTGTCAGATGGCCCTCAGCCGTGACGGTCTCCTCTAGGCCCTCAGCCTCTAAATGATGGATGATCGTCTCATGACTCTCCGTCGTGACAGTCCCCCTCTAGACCCTCACGCCTCTAGGTGTTTTTCCTAGGCCATCAGTCTCTGGGGTGGAGATGTTCGTCCCACGGTTCTCAACCGTGGTGGTCTCCTCTTTAGCTGGCCCTGAACGTCTTCGAGACTCAGGCCCCGCGTCTTTTAATCATCTTGCTCGAGCGCGTCGAGCAGCTCCAACTGCGCAATAAGCATGGTAACGGGCCGCGCGGCCCGACAATATATATACATAGCCATCTGTGTGGCTTTCTCTCTAACACCCACGATTACTGGCCTATGGGTCACTGTGACCCTCAGTCTGGCTCATCGTGCGGGGTTACTGGACGTAACAACTTGCGACAAGGCCATTTAGCAGCCTACTGAACGTCACATAAAAATATTCATCGGTCTGTGAGTTTTCAAACTCAGACCCAAGTTAGTCGCACTGCCCTTGGAAAAAGGAGGTTGAGCGCTTTGGTGCCTTCGGGCCCCACAGGCCACGTTTGGCACAGTCACTTCGCCTAGCGGCGCAGATGGTACTAGGGTACGATCGTCGCTCGAACACTTGGTGTCGTGCGGACTAATGCGTAACCCCCAAATTAAAACGCGTCATCGGGGCACTACCCTCTGGAGACGCTCAGATCGCTAATCAAAACCGATCGAGAGTGGGCTAATCGGGCCCACCAACAATTAAACATTTAATAAAATGTTGGCCAAACTAACTATCACTAGAGCTTCGCTCGGCATTATTTATTTCGGGACATTTTTATCCCTAACAAATAATGGTGATGTACGGGTAGTAACAATGATATTATCCTATCAAAGGCCATTCAGGTATGCTCCGTTCGCTAATTAAAGCCGATCAGGAGCGGGCCGACGGGCCCACGACAATCGGTCATCTAATTTAAATGACGGTGAAATTAATTATCACTAGAGCATCGCTCGCCATTATTTAATTTCGGGAGATTTTAGTCTCTAATAAATAATGGTGATAAAATAATAACAGTAAAGGAACATTATTCCAATTAATACTCTAATTAGCAAATGGTGAAGGTTTTTTGTGAAACTTAGCTCTTGTAGCGTACGTCTCGGCTTGGAATGCCCCAAGGGATATATGTTGACCGAGTCAACAATCACTTTCCCAACATGCTGGCTAAATATGTTGGCTGCCCAAATAATGCGAAGCTCGTCAATCCCCAAATGAGGACTTGGTCCACATCCCTCCTTCCACGACGTGGCTCGCTTTCAACCAAGAACAAACCGAATTGCTGTCCACCTGCTGGCCGCTCGCTGGCAGTTGTCAGTAAAGGTCGCCGAAGGTGCAAGGACGACGACGGAGGCCGGGCTCCGGTGGGAGTCCGACAGAGCTTCAAAATGTCCCCTCCTTGAGCTCTACGCTGCCATTAACGGCAGAAGACTCATCTGGCTCGGGGTGGAGCTGCAACAGAGGCAGAGAAAGGTCATACTAACCGGTGAAGTTGATGAGCCCCCTGCGACGATGTCCGCCGGTGCCGCGACTGGAGGAAGGAGCTGCGACTGGGTGACGAAGTTTGAGGGCGGAGCTCGCACTCCACCTCCGTCTTGGTGCAGCGTCGCGGCCGGACTGGGTCGGCAATCGTTATTTCTTCCGATTCTTACTAGATCTAAGAACTTCTCAGAATCCATTTTTCTTCTTTTTTTGCTGAAATCGGTCCATTTCATATCAATCTTTGCACAAAAAACTGAAGAACACATGAATCTTTTTGGACAGATTCCCACAGACGACGCCAGTGTTGAGTTTAATCTAACACGATATAGTAAATATATGTATAAATGTGTATGAACAAGCTCAGTTTTTACGTGGAAACCCGAAAGGGAGAAAACCACGGGACTTTTTAGGCTAATGTCCAAGCCCTCTCAATTCTCATTAGTCTCTACTCACCATTACATAGTACATTTTGAGCTCCCATTAATGGAGTCTTGTAAGCTAACTAAGAAGGAGGGAGAAGAAGAAGGGATCCTTAATAAGGAGGGGAACTCCCATATTTATAGGGAAATAGGGAAGGGATGCTCTCCACCCTAATGGGCCGCATGGGCCGAAGTGGGCCGAAATGGCTAAAGTGGGCCGAAATGGGCCTAGCTGCTCGGGCTCTGTACTGAATAATGTCTTGGGCTCCTGAACAGTAATAGGCCGGGATAATATATCCCAACACTTGGATCTCATTGAGAATGCTTATAAGCATAGCTTATAAGCTTGAATGCTTATAGACATATAAGCATATGTCTACAGATGTATGAGAATGCCTGAATCTTATAAACATAGCTTGAATTTGTATTGTTTATTATATTTTTCTAAACATTTACAATTAATGGAGTATCCTTATTAACAAAAACTAAGAAGTGGGTGCTTTTTAAACACCTTTTATGATTATTGTATATTCATCTAATTTAGCTCGCTATGTTCTAGTCAAAAAAATCAATCGCAATTCGCAATCCACCTTTACAAAATAAGATGCATTTTATTAGGACGACATAATCCAGATTTGGGAGTTAGCGGTGGGTTTGTGAATCTGAGTCCAAAATTAATATTGAAAAATCATGTTCTATAGAAATTGCATACAGAGTATATGATTGTAAAGAATAAACAATCTCTCTCTCTTTTCTAGCTCTGTAACTTTTAGCACTTTCAATTAGATCTTCTCTCTCGCTCCATAGTTTATAGTATACACAATTTCCATAAAAATTAAAGAACAAGAACTAAAAAAAACTAGATAATCTTTCAACCAATCACTGATTATTCACCAAAGCATCAAATGTTTAATAACGTTAATGTCAAAATCTACCTGCAAATAAAGCTTTGAAGAGCTCGCTCCAATCTCCCGTCACTAGATTAAAAGAAGCGATTGAGGAAGATGAAGTTGGAAGAATGAGCATGGAAATAAAGCAGACGTTTCCCGAATTTGATGAGGATGAGCCTCAAAAGAGAGAAGGATGCAGTGTGAGCGAGTTGGCGCTGGTTCAAGCTGCCGCCCTCCGGCAGCTGCGACGGACCGACCGCTTCGTTACCTGCTTCTGGCACGGCTTTATTGTTTCCTGTCTTTGTCCGGATATGTGAAGATGGTAATAATGATGACACAACAGATATGAAATAATATGAGTGACGTGGAGGTTTTTATTATTCCTGCGAGCTGAGTAATGCGCCACATTATATTCCGTTAGAGACAGTTTCACGGTGTTAAATTTTTAGGTCTTGAATCGATAAATTATAATCTTTCAGGTCCCTTATTGATTGAAATTATCTTTCGGGTCCTAAATCGATAGTAAGGTCATCTTTCGGGTCTTGGACCGATAATTTTCCTACAATTAAACCGAATAAGTAATATATTCTGAATATTATATGTAGTATGAGTCCAATAATGTCCACATGGTCATTGGGTTAGCCTATGAAGTTGGGCAATGGGGAGCCAAATTCGGCTCATCCAAAGGGGTCGAGATTTTCCAAAAGCTTAGCAGGTGTTCTATTGAAATGAAAGACGTCATGAATGAATAATTGAATACCAAAAACCCTCCAATATGGGTGTCATCTAAAAAGGGGGTTGTGACAATAAATAAAAAGTTTCCAACTTTTCAATCCAAAGATTCAAATTCCCAACACTCCACATGAAGAGTGTGTGGTCGGGTAGGGCAGGCTCGTTAGAGCATCTCCAACCCAGATGGTGGATTGGTGCTTAGGTGTACAAGCAATGGAGATGGTCTACAATTAATGGAGAGGGTCTATCAATCCCCAACTCCAATGCCGAAGGAAGAAAATGCTATTCCAATAACACTCATTATTAAAAGATTAACATTGCAAGGACAAGGGTGAGACCGAGGGTCTCAATGTAGAACCCCTAGTGGACTTTGTGCATTGCCACATAGGATGGACCCAACTCATTTCTTTTTGCATTGGAGAATGCATTTGCTTACAAAAGGTCTATTTGGTGAGGTGGATGGATATTTTTTAGCAATCCACCCTTAGGTTGGAGATGCTCTTACTGCCCCTTACTTCTTCCCACTCCCCACTCCCTGCAATTTACTCCGTATTTTGTCCATTTGCCATTGCCAGATTCGCCTGTTCTCTTCCAATTTCTCAAGCACAGAGAAGAAGCGGAATTCCCTCATTGCCTCTAGTAAATGGAATGCTACGAAAGAATAGAAAAACCAAATACTTGCACCGGTCAACTACAGGTCAGTGGAGCTGCTTTCGTTCGTTTTCTTACTTTTCACACCCCCCTTGGCAAGAAAGAAAAATTGGAGATTTGTCTTTCACTCTTTCATTTCTCTGTCAGTTCAAGAATAAGTTTTTTGTTTTGTTTGTTGGGGGAAATTGCAGTTTTTATCTAGAGAATTGCTGGTATACATTTTCCCAAATTTACATGTATATAGTTTTACAGTTGTCTCCGAGGAAGCTAAGGAGTATGCTGTCGAGGACACAGAAAAGGAAAAAACCCCAGGCTGAAGAGCAGGAGGAAGAAGAAGACCCAGAGCTTGGTACCTCTCTGAGATCCGAATCTGAGATCCATGATTCTGGTTTGTTCTGTCTCTCCTGCACTCTTATGGTTTATACTTCGGGGGATTTTTTCTTTTCCTTCATTGTCTTGCTTTGCATTATTCTATTTTATCTGTCTATTTGCCTATATTGTACCACTCTCTTTTTATGCAGTTTAAGCTAATGGTCAATAACTGAACGAATACATTATGAACCTTAATGAATATATCCACTCCTGTAGATTCACTTTAGGACTTTTTCTTTTGCATTTCCAAATCTTTGTTATTGATTATTTTTAAAATTTGAAAAAGGATACTGACATTTTAAATTGTAAAAAAGGCGAAAAAATCTTTTCCTTTTTCTCTTCTATATGTAAGTTGATGAATATACACTCTAGAAATCCAAAAAACTTTCGTTAGACAATTTTATGCAGGAATCTGCCATCTATATTTAAAAATCCAAAGAAAATAGGGAAGCGATCTCTACCTTAACAGAAACAAAGATGATTCTTTTCAAACTGTCCTTGATTTCTTTTTTAAACAAGCCTTAGTATCCATTAATTGGTTTATGTTTCCATAGATCCTACTATTATTATTTTGTTGGCATTCTGGCTATTGAATGTTAATCACGACCCGATTTTTATCCAAATCAATGTGGTATTTAGCTAAACATATAATTTGAATGGGTGTATCAGAAGTCAGTTCAGAGATTTGCAAAGATGTGGCTGTTGTAAGTGTGCTAAATGAGTGTTCAACAGAATGGGGATTTGGTTCTTCAATGGTTAAGGATAATAGATTGAAGGATCAATCACAAGCCACTTCCATGTTTAGGCCTCAAGATGTGAATTTTGAGTTTCAGAAGGCAGATCGGGCACAAAGAGTTCCTCCGGGTGTACCTTTCTCTAAACCTGCTCCGTCCAAATGGGATGATGCTCAGAAGTGGATAGCTAGCCCGACCTCCAACCGCCAGAGAACTCAATGTGGGTTGGGATCAAGAAAGTCAACCAAGCACGTCTCTGATATTTCTGATCGGCGAACGGTTATCTCTGAGGAGCCTGCTGATACTAAATGGATCGATTCAAACCAGTTTAAGGAAAATGGAGTCCAAAAGTATGTGAGCTGGGAATCTGAATCTCATCCGGTTGCTGAATCATATGGAAAGGAGACACTTGTGATGGAAAACTGTATCAGAGAATCAGCAAGTAAGATTATATCTTCTGGCGTTGATCACATAGCAATACTTTAAGGAGTTTTGCTAGAGGTACACAAAATGTGTACACAAAATGTGTACACATGTCTGTCCTTCACAGAAATTTTGTCTGTGACAGACAAAAATTCTGTGAAGGACAGACATGTGTACACATTTTGTGTACACATTTTGTGTACCTCTAGCATTTTTCTACTTTAAGACATGTTATCTCCAAAACCTAAAAACAGTTATATTTGATGCCTTTCAATTTCTTGTAAAATTGACTGCCTGTATTCATGTAGTTTGACTGCATTGCATGCCTTTGGCTTTGGCATTTGTCCTGTAGTTGAAAAGGCCACATTCTATGCATATGTTGATTCCAGGACATTAATTATGTAACTTTCTTGATGTTGAACATGTGTATGGTCTTTAGTCGTCACAACTCACAACCACTGAAGCACGTAGGTTCAGTTTGGATGGAGGGCGTTGGGGAATTGGAGGCCTGGAGGGCTTCAGGGCTTGTCTATATCTTGATTCTAGTCTTTTATTTGACCATGTGTATCGTTCTCAGTCCACACAACAACTTAGGGCATGTTTGGGTGTATGGTTTTAGAGTGCTTTGGTGAATAAGACTTTGGAGGTTTTAGTCTATACTTTATATAAATCAGAACATTTCTAAATTTAAAAATATAAAGCCATAAGGGTGATTGAAATGTTATATGATCACATATTATGTTACCCATTCAATATTATTCAAGTCTGATATACGTATGAATATACAAACTCTCCAAACTCCTGCAAAATCCTCTTTTCAAACAGTCCCTTAGGGTTAGTTTGGAAGCTGGGTTTTGAAGGGCCCAGTGTATGTTTTGATATATACGTAGTATTTAAGATCATATAAAGCTTGAACGAATAAAATAATACTCCCTCTGTTTCACAAACAAAGTCACGGTTTGACTTCTCTAGGATTAAGAAAATAAATTGACTTTACTGTAGAAAACACTGTTTAGACACTGTTTGGCATTGTTTTGATGTAGAATTCTTTGCCAAATAAGGAAATAAGGGAAGTGTGACTTTGTTTTTGAAACATCCAAAAAAGGAAAGTGTGACTTTGTTTGTGAAACGGAGGGAGTATGTGATAATACAATATTTCAATCACACTGGATTCATGTTCAGAAACACTTGAATAATCAAGATATAGACTAAGCCCTCCTAAATCAGCATATCCTTAGAGGTTAGCACTTTCCTCTAGAAAACATGAATGTATAAAACAGGAAATATTACCAAACAAAACTCTATGCGACTATGTTGCTACTACCAAAATTATTGAACACAAAACAGTAGACTGATATCATGATTATACCTTTTCATTTTGCAGTCAATCTGAGCCAGCATGACTCGTGTGTTTCCGTCCACAGTGAGACGGCATTTGTGCCACTACCTTCAACAGCTAGGTCTGTGTCTATGAGAGATATGGGCACAGAAATGACTCCACTTGCAAGCCAAGAGCCTTCCAGGACAGGAACGCCTGTTAGAGCAACAACTCCAACTTGCAGTCCAACATCAACTCCTCCATGCTCTTCTACTCTTCTTGACCACTCAAATGATCCTCAGGCAAAGGAGCTGTTTGAAAAGGAATTGCAGATGAAAACTAGGAAAGAGATCATGGCTCTAGGAACTCAACTTGGTAAGATGAATATTGCAGCCTGGGCCAGCAATGAGGAGGATGATGATAAAAACGGACCCACTGTTGGGGCAGAACAACCTGATATTGCCATTATGGCTCGAGCAGCAGCTTGGGAGGAGGCAGAGAATGCAAAACACTTGGCCAGGTTTTTTCTCTTTTCTGTTTAAAATTTCCACTGTGTCCCACTCAGTCAAATATAAAAATATAAATCAATATAAAAGGCATCAGACTAGCTCTCCTATGATGTTGACTTTTAAGGATAAAGCCTCAAGTCTTAGCCATAGTATCAATGCCAACCTGGTTCGTAGCCATACTGCAGGGCCCAGTGAAGCACATCAGCTAATTATAAAATAACAAACCACCATAGAGAATTTTGGACTACTCTTCTAATGACCCAAGAAAAACAGAAACATGCATTTAATTAACGATGATGAGGTTGGTGGTAATTTTAGACTCCTTAGGATATAATGCAAATTTATTATTTTCATATTTTTGCCCCCCCGCACGGGTCCTTTTTGGGGAAATTGTCCTAAATAGGAGTAAAAACGTTCTGAAATTCCAAAATAGGACAACTATGTTTTTATTCCCGAAATAGGAGTAACTATTGTCATGTTTTGACAGTATTGGACTTTAAACATGGCAATATTTTCCAAACTTAGCAGTAATTGGTCCTATTTATGGAACAAAAACATGACAGTCCTATTTTAGAATTCCAAAATGTTTTTACTCCTATTTCGGGAGTTTTCCCTTATATTTGTGGAATGTGAACACAAAGTAGCACAATAATAGCCATGTTTACACGATTTCCATTTGTGTTTTTGCATGAAACCATGGCACTTTAACTCCGAAATTGGTTTTAGTTTGGTAGAACGGAGTATATAGATTAATAATGTAAAAATGGTGAAAAATAATACTCCGTACTTCGTATTTGATGTTATTTGATAAGTAAATAAATTTCCACCAACTAATAGGAACTTACAGCTTCAGCACAATATAAAAAGCTAAGTTTGATCTATTCATTAGATTCAAGCGAGAGGAAATGAAGATACAAGCATGGGAGAATCATCAGATAGCTAAGGCAGAGGCTGAGATGAGGAAAATCGAGGTATTAGTGTTGTTGTTTTGTTGTGCTTATGGGGTCTGTGTTATTTGTTTTTGAGATGCATAAACATTAACCAGTATTTGATAATAGAATATGCACACAAAATATTTATCAATTGATAGAGACCCGGGCCAGTTTAGTAAACATGACAAATACTATAGCCAAGTTTATTCTAGAAGAAGAAAGTAGTTAGCTGTTATTTCGTTAAGCTGCTTATAACCACTTACGGTTATAAAGTCTGACTATAAATAGAATAAACTGGGAGCATTGAAGAGGCTGTTTTTGTAAGACTTGTTGTCTTGGCTGGGAAGTTAGAGCTTTAGCTCTTTCTTTGGGACTCTGTATACGATTTTTACTTCTCAGTGCATTGTTGAATAGTGTTTCTTGCATTCTTTCTCTTGATTGAGTAGATTCCTGGTTAGAATTACTGATTGTATTGCGTGATTCTATCATCAATCAATATTGCATGTATTATACATTTATACCTTCTTAAATGACCAGTCTCCTGACTCTCTTGGATATATATAACCTGCTAAATCCCAGACCTGATCATATTATATATGAGTATATATAAATATAAACTATTTGCCAACATATGTTGATATTTCTTTTCAGATGGAGGTGGAAAGGATGAGGACAAGATCCCAAGATGAGGTGATGAAGAAGCTATCATCAGTGAGGTGCAAAGCTGAGGAGAAGAGAGCTTCAGCTGAGGCTAAGATGAAGGACCATTCTTCAAAAGCAGAGAAACAAGCAGAATATATACGCCGAACTGGACGGATACCCACCTCCTCTGCCTGTTGCTGCTTACGCTGGCGTTTCTTCTAACATCTAAAATCGGTAAAGCAAGCGCTTTAGAGTTTGAGTATCTGCTCTCAAGTATCAAATCACTGTAAGATATGTGTTCTTATTATTATATTATTTATTGTTAAGACAAATTTTCTCTTGTACATCTTTTGGTTCAGTTACAATTACAATAATAATGGCTACATTTTTGCAGCATATTTTCTTCGCTGTTAACTTCAATCTATGTTCGACTTAGATCACCTGAGAAGTGCTCATAAATTGCCGTCTGTTTGGTTCAACTAAGGAATCGAACCGGACTGAGAATTTTAATAGTGGAGGGCGAGGAAGGGGAGTTTGGACGGGAAAGAATAGAGTATTCTACTAGAGTGGTTTTCATGATAAGCACGGTAGTACCTGTTTGGTTCAGAAGGCAGGAAGGAAAAATATTTGAACAATTTATTTTTAATAAAAGATGACTGATTGTAATCAGACAATAATCATAAATATTACTACCTCCGTCCTGTTCAAAGGTTTTCAGTGTAAAATGACACGATCATTTAAACAATAATTAAATATAGTAAGTTGAGTACATTTTAAGAAATAATGTTGATGGTTGGTTATACTCCGTATAATTTAACAAGATCATTGATAATAACTATAGTGTTGTAATTTTTTTTAATACTTGATGATTAAGTTGCCACTTAAAAGTATTAATTGTTTTCTAAAATGGAAATGAGAACCTTTAAATGAGACTCCAAAAAAGAAAAGTGAGAACTTTTGAATGGGATGGACGGAGTACAAGTTTGAATGATAAATGTACAATGAATAATCGACATGTTCTTATAATAAAGAGGCTTGATCTACAACCGTTGTCTGGCCGAGCTTGTTTCAGGGTCATTCCAGTGGATTTTTTTGATGAATTTTTTTGAGCATGTTCTTCATCAATTATAGTTTATAATTACAAAATTTCAGCTTAAAATTCAATCAGGAAGGTATTATATTAAACAAGTACAGTTCATCAAGTATTGTTTATTACTATATTAAACAAGTTATATATGGAGTATATATATCATGTGCATATTTTTTTTGAACATGTGCGTGTCTATATATTACCGTATAAACTAAATAACATGTGTACATATATGAGAAAATATTGATCAATACTATGTATATCCTTATAAATTTTTTAATAACCTCACGGCTCACGTTTTCCCCATATTTCGTATCCTATTAGATTTCACGTTTATAGCACTTCCCATTTTTGTGCCATTTAGATCACATTGTCGTCTTTTTTTTATACTCCAGAGGGGTCTGGGGGGCGGAGGGGGGCTGAGGGGAACTTGGAGTAATCATGGCTGAAACTCACTCATTGTTGTCTTTGTTACACATAGTTGTGTAATGACGATACAGAAATTGACATAGTTTGGTTATACTACGGTAAGCAAGTTTGGTAATATCCTAGCACTAGAAATGAATTTTGGAACCACACGTGTTGGGTTAATGGCCCAAGCCAGGGTCCGGCCCATTCATCCCTTTTTACCGGACGAACGTCCAGTTAGAACACAAGGCTGGCCTGGCAGGCCCATGTTCCTCCAGGAGGGACGAATGTCTGTAGTAGGGGGTTAGGCTCAGCGGCCCATCTCGACGAACATCTATGCAGGGACAAGGAGCGGGCCACGGGTCACCAGAATGACGACGAACGTCGTCAGAGCAAGCCCGTAGCCATCGGAGGCAGTCTAGCCCGCTTGGCGAGAATCCACAAAGGCCAGGGGACGAACGGCCAGTACCCCTGGGGGGCTACCTGGAGCAATCCAGCTCGCTCCCCGGGCGGACGAACGTCCCCACTAATTAGGCGGGAAACCTAGATTCTGGCGGGAAGTGCATTTAATGCTGAAGATTTGGTGGTTGGGACACCAGCGGTCCACTGGCTTCCACGTCAGTATAGCCACCTGCCCATTGGTGGGTATAAATAGAAGCATTTATTTCATTGTAAAGGGTTGGCAACTTTCTATTCTTAGCATTGTAGCTTTAGCGTTCTTACTGGCAACATTTCTACTGCCTTGTAAGACGAACGGCCGACGGAGCCTTAGCGAAAAGTATTGTATTAGGGAGTTATTGAGAGATAATAATACCTAATCATTTACTTGCTACATCTTGTTCTTTTGATCCATATCATCTGCTTGTTGGGCTAGATACTCATACACTCTCCACTCGAAATCCTTGGGCTTACGTGTCGGACCCAAGGGTTGAAGGAATAAACCTCAACACTGGCGCCGTCTGTGGGAAACTGAACAAAAAGTTTCCAGAAACTCTCCCAAACAGCTACTAAATCTACCTACAGCAAGCACGATGTCAGGAAGCAACAACCAGTGTGACCTCTCCGAGCGTCTGGAATCAAGCCGCCGGAATCGCGGCCAGAACTCGGAACAATCCGCGACGATATGGACCTCCGGGGGGAACGAGGGTATCACTGACCTTATTCCCCTTGAGGCCCGGCAGGATCCCCGCCTCATGCGGGAACTTGCTGACACCATGCGCCGTCTGGCAGATGAGCGGGAGGCTCAGGAGCAGGTGTACTCTGCAAGCACCCAGCGAACACCCCTCTCTCCCATCCGCCGTATGCAGCCGTATGATGATACGACAGGATCCAGCGACCACCGGCCCTCCGTCCATGAGCGGCTAGGTGGAGGTTCAGGCTCCCAAGGAACGGGAGGGCGAACAAATGTCAGCGCCGCTGCTTTCAGGGCGCACACGCCATCAGTTCCCCGCCAAATCTCGCGTGGGGACGAAACCCCAAGGATCAACACCGTTGGACGACGTTTCCAACGGCGAGGGCACAAATCCTTAGGCGGCCGCACGATGCTGCGGCCGCACTGCGAAACACTGCCCTCGAGGCCGTGCCCCCTGTGTCCCCCGGAAGGGCCGCACAGGATGCAAGGCTGGAGGCGATGGAACGGCAGATTGCCGAGATGAACAGACGGACGGACGCCGGCTCGGCCACGCCCTCCGTCTCTCTCACATCACCCTTCACCCCCCGGGTGATGAGCGTCGAGATTCCCCGGGACTGCAGACCCCCGGGCAACTTGGTGTACAATGGGGCCGGTGACCCTAAGGTCCACCTGATTAGCTACCAAGGAAATCTGTCCATGTTGGGAGCATCGGACGAGGCCATCTGCAGACTGTTCTTCAGCACCCTCAGGGGGCCGGCGCAAGAATGGTTCGGTCAGCTGAGGCCGGGTACCATCAACTCATATGAACAACTCTCCCGGCAGTTCATGGCCCAATTCGCTGCCAGCACCACCCCCAGGAAGGACGTCACGGCTCTCGCCCACATCAAACAAGGGCGGGACGAACCGCTGGCTAAGTTTCTGGTAAGGTGGAGGGACGAAGTCCTGCTGGTCAATGATCTGGACGAACGTCTGGCCACGAACATGTTCATCAGCGCCCTGTCCACTGGAGATCTGTACCGGGACTTGAGGAGGAACCCCGGCACCAGCTACACCGAGGTTCTGGCTCGGGCCCAGAAGTATGCCTCCATTGAGGAGGAGATCAGGCAGCGGGACGGAGTTCCCGCGGCTCAACAGCGGAAGATGGCGGACAGGCTCGGCCCTAGACCGGGGCCCGGGCCTTCCCCCCCAAACAAAAAGAAGAAGGCAGACGGGGCGGTGGTCCCTTGGAAGGCTCCGTCCGGAGATAGTCAGACGCGGCCGGACGACCGCTACGTCCCCTTGGCCTATCCAGTGAGCCAGATTTTTGAGGCCATCAAAGACAAAGGCCTCCTGATGGAACCCCAAGATATGAAGAAGCATATGGGGCTTGACCAATCTGCTTACTGTGAATACCATCGGAGGGCCGGCCACCTGACGGACAACTGCAGCCAACTAAGGAAAGCAATCGACGAGCTGGTCCGTCAAGGGTACTTGGGCGAGTTCACCCAGCTGTTGAACAAAAACAGCCAACAGAAGCCGAACCCAAGATCCCGAACATGGCGCCGCGACGACCGGCGCGAGGCAGAACCTCAGGACATGGATTATCGAAGCGTAGATAAACGTCCGGAGGGGTCCCTTGGCCCAAAGGGCAAAAAGAAGAAGCTGGAGATCAAGGTGATCTTCGGGGGCACTGAGACGGGGGATACACCCGCCGAGCGGAAAAAATTTGAGAGATCACTCTATGTGGGTTCCATATCAGCACCCCCCACAAAACGCAACAAGATTGCGGCGATCACCTTTGGGCCCGCCGATCTGCCGGTGTCACCAGCGCCGCACAGAGACGAGCTGGTGATCAGCATGGACGTGAACGACGCCATCGTCCGCCGCGTCCTCGTTGATACCGAGAGCAGTGTGAACGTCCTCTACTGGGAGGCGTTCGAGGGGATGAAGCTCAAAAAGGACATGTTGCACCCTCTGCATACCCCGCTGTCCGGCTTCACCGGGGATTGCATTGACGCTGAGGGCACCATCATTCTACCAGTAGAGATCGGCGACGGCCCTCACACCGCCCGGATCGGGATGACAATCGTCGTGGTCCGCCTGAAATGCGCCCACAACGCCATTTTGGGTAGGCCCGGCTTGGAAGACTTGGGGGCCATATGCTCCGTACGGCACTCATGCATCAAATTCCCCACCGACACTGGAGTGGGAATAGCACGTACGGACCCGCATATGGCCAGGGCCTGCTACACAAAGGCCATGGAAAAGCTCAACGAGCGGGAGGCTCAGGTCAACAGCATCTCCGAGAAGGCCAAGCAGGCCGACTTGGACGCTCATCTGGAACCAGCAACTCTGCTGGAGGAAATCGAGCTCGACGACCCGACGGACAGGAAGGTGTCCATCGGCGCGGATCTAGAGCCGGAGATCAGAGCGGGGGTCATAGCCGTCCTCCGAAGGTTCAAAATCCTGTTTGCCAGGGGGCCGGAGGACATGCCGGGCATTGACCCCAATCTCATATGCCATAGGCTCGCCGTGCGACCGGACGCCAAGCCCATACAGCAAAAGAAAAGATATATGGCGGCCGACCGGCGCGATTTCATCAAAAAGGAGACAGCAACCCTCCTCAGCATCAAACACATCCGGCCGGTCATCCACGTGGAGTGGTTGGCCAACGTAGTACTAGCCCCAAAGGGCGACACATGGCGGATGTGCGTCGATTACTCGGACCTCAACAAAGCTTGTCCGATGGATCCTTATCCTGTTCCGAGGATCGACTTGCTGGTGGATGAGACAGTAGGCTGCGAGCTGCTCAGCTTCATGGACGCATTCAGAGGCTACCATCAGGTGTTCATGCACCCCGATGATGCCGAAAAAAACAGCGTTCGTCACGGCGGACGGCGTATACTGCTATATCGTCATGCCGTTCGGCCTGAGGAACGCCATGGCTACCTTTCAGAGGATGATCGGGATGTTGTTCAAGGACGTACTGGGGAAAACAATGGAAGCTTACGTGGATGACATCCTGATCAAGAGTAAGAAAAAGGGGGACCATGTCCAAGATATGGAGAGGGTCTTCACTATCATTGAGAGGGCCAGCATGAGGCTCAATCCGAAGAAATGCGCCTTTGCCGTCAGGGGCGGCAAGTTCCTCGGCTACATGATGAGCGAGCGGGGAATCGAGCCTAACCCGGAGAAGGTAAAGGCAATTATGGACATGGAGGCCCCCAAGAACCTCAAAGACGTGCAGCGGCTCACCGGGCGTCTGGCAGCCCTGAGCAGATTCTTATCCAAGCTGGCTGATAAGGCGATTCCCTTTTTCCAGATTATGAAGAAGGCCAATCCCTTTGAATGGACCCCGGAGTGCCAGGCTGCTTTCGAAGATTTCAAGGTATATCTCTCCTCTCTGCTCGTCCTCACCAAAGCGGATCCCGGGGAGAGATTGTACATGTATTTAGCAGTAGCCA